TTCCTGGTTTGAAATGGATGTCCTGGGGGTCTCCACAGGAGACTTTGCACAGTGTGTTGGCAGTGCTTGCACGTAGAAACCTTCTCCTTTGTCTGTCTCTGTGCCAGATAATCCTCCACTCCATGCACCGTTACAAGCCTCGCTTCCACATTGTGCAGGCAGATGACCTCTTCAGTGTCCGCTGGAGCATCTTTCAAGTCTTCAGCTTTCCTGAGACTGTCTTCACTTCTGTTACTGCCTACCAGAATGAGCAGGTACAGTGTGCAAGTGCTGCTGTCGGACATATTGCTAAATACTGTCTTCAGAAATCTTTCTCTTCTAGAGAAAGGTGTCATCTTCCGAGCTAGTTGCGCTGGGCACCTCTGATGGACGGTGGAAAGAAATAGGCACATTACGGTTGCTATGGAAAACATCTACTCTGGGATGAGATGAATAATGCACCTTAATTGTATTAAGTGCACTGCCAGTGATTAACAGAACCCTAAATGCAGTAAAAAGTATGGGCAAAAGTCCAGCTATAAATACTGACCCTATATGTTTCTATAGTCAGATGAATCCCACCCAAATTGCTGCTGACCATGGCACAGTCACTTGTCTCCGTCTGTCAGTTCCTAATCAATAACGGGAGCCGCTGGGAAAGCTCAGGTGCTATGGCAGACAAGCAGTCGTAATAAATACTGAGGTGAAGGTCTTGAAACAGTAAAGAACCCAACCAGTCACCATGGTACTGAATATTGTTTCTTTTATTTTAAGATTACAAAGCTCAAGATTGACAACAATCCATTTGCTAAAGGTTTCCGTGAGCATGGGAAGAACACTCGAAGGTAAACTGTTTTTTCATCTTTATTTATAACTGGAGTTCACTCGTGAATTTTACCCAAGGCCATTGAGCAAAACTATTCCAGCTTGCTCTGCAGAGCCTGCTGCATTGTGCACACTGCATTTGCTCTGTGCAGCCTCCTCCCAAGAGACTTGGGGAGTGGGAGGAGATACAGGATCTCCTACAAAAATGTGGAAGATGTGACAAATTTGAGACCTGCATTCTCTTGCAAGTCGGAGCTAAACTGGAGTCTGACCCATGAATAGCAGTGATAACAGGAGTCCACAGCAGATCATTGTGTCTCTTTGAGATCAGCTTGATTCTGACATTGGGAGGCTCCCTCATCTCCTTTCCCTGTGTGTGGAAAAGTGTCTCTTCCAAACAGGAGATTTTGACTGTAAGAGGGAAGATGCATACCGATACCCCAATACCAGCAAGATCTTCTGTCTGGTCTGAGGGCAGCCAGTGGATGAGACCAGGGAAAAAAAAAAAAAAGCTTAAAGGCATCCACAGATTGGCAATAGAGAAGGAAAAAATGTTTTTTTCCAAGCAGAAAATGTTATGAAAATATCTGAGATTTTATTTCGTGTTATTTTATGCCTGAAAAAAATCTTATTTCCTGATGAAAATGGCCAAGACTGACTCTTTTTTTACTTAAACTTTGAAAATGTCATGGATTTTCTTTCTCCTCCCAATGGGATCATCTCTGACTAAGCTTAGACTCATTTTCCATTTAGGAAAAAGCTGCTTTCAAGCAAAAGACCCACCTACTATATGCATACCTGTGTGTATAGTATGTGTATCCAGCATCGGACTACACTTACAAACTCGGTGCCAAAACCTCCAGTGCTGATTTTCTGCATTGATTGTGCCTTTTGTACAAACTCTCGCTGGAAGCGCACACTAATGGCAGGCGGCATGGCTAACCCTGTAATTCAGCTATGGCAAGCGTATTCCCCGAGGGCACATCAGGGTGCTTTGCTAGGAGAGGTGTAAATCACAGAATGTCAGAGAGGTTCATCCCATCTTTTTGTCTTCTGGGACTTGTCCAGCATCCCTTGTGTATTTATCTAGGCAAAAAGCTTACATACGAGCTACTCCCGTATCTTGCTTCTTTCCCAGGGAAGGACGAGCCAAATGCCAGAAGCCTAGTCCAGCCAAGGGCCAGAAGAGGAAGCTGCCTGAGGAAAAGGAGTCCGGTGCTGAGGAACGTGGTAATACTGATCACAGCAAACCCAGAGAATGATTTCCAAACAGTGCCCAGGCCACAGGAAGGAAAAGAAATAGCAACATAGCCCCCTCTCTGGGGAGAGTGGCCTGCGTGGAGTCCCTGAAGAGTGCAGTGTCTCTGGCTTTGAGTCTCTGACTCTCTGGGAATGATCCACAGGAGACTGCTGACAAGTCACTTGTCGTTACTGACTACTCATCAGCTCCTTTACCCACCTCCCAGCCTGGCTGTGCTTTGTGACCACAGATGATCCTAGGTTGTGCTTTCGTAACATCTCTCTTCAACAGTGATACGAGCTTGCAGTATCAACCATTGCTTTCTTCTTGGTTCTCCTTGGTGCTTTTTGTGCAGCTGGGTTGTGATGCAGATGTAGGAACTGATACCATTAAAAAACCAAAATCTTTATGTGTTAGGTTGTTTTTTAAGCTTGATCAATCCTTGCTCCAGTTCACAGTACTACTTGCAGTAGCAGAAGGCAGTAGCACAGCTAAGGAGAGAGGACAGGGCAGGACTGAACACCACAGTGTAAGGTCAGAAAAAAGCTGGAAAGGGCTAGTCCCTTAAGACAGTATGACTGCAGAAGAGGTATTAGTGTGTTTCCTTCCACCATCCTGCAATTAATGCAGCTGCCAATAGAACATTGTGAGCTCTGTCTCTCTCTTCCCTCTTCTCATTTTTTTCCATTCTTTCTTTTCCCTGCTGTGAGTCAGATTTTGAGAAAGAGGAGAATGTAGATGTGAAGGAAGAGAGTAACCCCGTTGTGGTCAGCAGCGGATACCCCTTCTGGGTCTCGGAGCAGAATGGCAGCCATGCCTTCCCTGCAGCATCGCCGGTGCCAGCTGACCAGAGGGAGGGTCTGGCAAGAGAGCAGCAAGTGCCTACGCCGTCCTACCAGACATATAGGTGAGTCGTGCCTCCTGGTGCTCATATCCAAAGCCGCTCTTTAATTGATGGGATTCCTCCTCTTCTACTGGACGTTTCCTAAGAAAAACAGCCAGTGGGAGTAAGGAAGGATGCCTTTCTCTCGGACAGCATACCTGGGTGATAGGTGCTAGATTAGCATGGAGATAGCTCCACAACAAAACCTTTCTGTGTTACTTCAAACCCACTGATTCTGGGCATGCTCATGTCTTAGTAATGCTCTTTATTTCCCTGTCCTGAAATGCTCTCCTAGCCAGCTCTGTGTATCGCAGAGCTTGCCTGTCCTTTGGAAGGCAGTGTGTTGGAGGAGTGGCAGGACTCCAGTGATCTTTTTCCCTTCTTCTTATCATTGCAAATTCAGGAGCGACTTAGTGAGCCCACACTAGAACTGAGGCAGAACTAGAGTAGTCTGGGCTTACCTTCTCTGGCATTTAGTTTTTCTGTGTGAGTGACAGCAAGGCTTGGACTAAAATCCACACTAACAGTAAAATGAAGCAGTAGGCAAGGGGAAGAGGGCATGCTAAAAGCTTGCCCTGCCTTTCCCCAGGGGAGCTGTGTGGGTTTTCAGTGGTTTTCCGCTGCGGTAGGTTTGACTCACTCTTCTCTCTGCCCTCGGGGCTCAGGTTCCACGAAACTGGGGACAGCCAGCAGCTTCCTGCCCGCGACGCCACGGCCTTGAACGATTTCCGGGCAAGGTGCCACCCCCTGGATCTTGCTACAGTGCCCGAGCACGACTCCAAACAGCTCCCAGAGGGCTTCGCCAACCTGCCTCCGCTCCCCCCGCCTCTGCCTCCTCCCCAGGACTACACAGGAGTGGTGAACATGGCTTTAGACTCTGTTGGGAAACCTGGGGCCCGAGCACCCATGTACAGTCCGTATGGCACCGAGCAAGGCCTTGGCCAGTGGATGGTGCCTTCCCACAGCCAGTACAGGGCAATGAGCTACTCGGCCTTCTCCACAGAGTACAATACACAGGGGGCTACGGGACATGCCCATGGGACCGTGGCAGAGTGGAGCCAGTACCCTCTGTTCCCCTATGCCTGCTGGTGAATGGGGAAGACCATTCCCAATGAAAAAACTGAAAGAAAATTGTAAATGAGATCAAATTTGTTCTGGGGTGTTGACCTTTTGAAGCCTTGTCTACGTTAGGCAAAGAGGCATTGCTGCAGGCGGTAGCATGGGACTTCACTTCCTTGTCTCCTTGCACAACAACCCTCACCGTATTTCACAAGCAATGGCTAAACTGGTGGGTGTCCTAGCTGTGTCAGTGTGAGTCTGGCTGAATCAATGTGTTCTGCAGTGGTTTTTATCCCAACAGGAGTAGGAAACCACAGGAGCTGCCAGAGCAATATTTAAAGAGCTGCCAAGCTCTCAGTCCCAGGCTGTTTGCATCTCGCATTTGGCAGTTTCTGAAATCCCTTCCAGGACTGGCGTGCAAGGAGATAGGGGCTGAGGAGTTTCAGTAAGCTGTCCAGGAGACCAAGAAGCTGTACAGAATTATTGCAAAGATGCACAAAACAAGCAATCCGGGTGCCCCCTTGAGCAGGTTCCTCACTTAGTATAGTCAAACTAAAGCTAGAGTCTTGCCTTTCTTCCAGCAGCATACAAGAGTAAAACACACAGCAACGCGTATGTATCTGGAGCACAGCAGTGGGTAATGCAGGCAGGGAAGAGTTTGTCCCGTGCAGGAGAAGCGGCAGCAAGACTGTGTGTTGTGTCTGCCTGTCCCCCGTGCCCATCCCTCTTCTGTCACCCCTAGATTCAAGGTTAGTGAAACACTCTTCTTTCTGCTGGTGATGGAGGGAGGTTGTTCACAGAACGTGGGGGCTGCTCTGTGGGTTTCCAAAAGCCTGTGGCCGTCGGAAACAGGACTGTGAACAGCAGTACTGGCTGTGTCACTCTTCTTTTTGAGGGAAAGGAAATCTTTCACTGCAAGCTTCTTCCTACTTCCACCCCCTGCCACCCCTGAGGAATATAATTTATAGTTGTGGTTACTGTGCTGCACTGAGCAAGCTTTGTCAACAGACAGTTCTCACCAGCCTGGCACTGTTCATTGGGCATATACTTTAATATTAATACCCTGTAGGCACCAAGCTGCGTGCTGCATTGCTGGTGAGCTCAGCACCTCCCAGGCTGGTCGGTGAAGTCATTTTGCCACTGTTTGGGACTCTATAGGGATCTGCTTCCATGTGTAGTTATCAGAACAGTTTCACCTCCCTTACCTCTGTGGTCCCATCGTGAGGAGGAGCTGTTCTGCCAGTCAACAGCCTGCACACTGCCTTGCAAAGATGATTTCTTTTTATCTTTGTGTTAGAAGGGGGAAGCATCCGTGTTTTCCTGAGTGGTGGAATGGCCCTGATAATGGGGTCCTGTTTGAGATAGGCTTTTTGCTTCTTGGGGACACTAGACATATTCCTAGGTGTTATTTAGGCAATGTTTTCTTGCAACACTTTAAATAAACTGCTGTGTAGCCTGTAGCCATCAGTAGGCAGTGAGGTGTATCATTTAGCATGTATGCCAGATGGTTTTCTCTGTGTGTGCAAGATGTTGTCTATGAGCAGACCTGGATGGGTTTGTGACCACTGGTGCATCAAGACCAGTGTACAGGAACACCGGGAAAGGCTGTGCGCTGGTCTGTTCCGGTACCAGGTCAGCACTGTGCGTGTGTGTAGCGTTAGAGGTGTTGAGCCATGTTTATTGTTAACATGACTTTGAAAAGTAGCCCTACAAATTTGTGAAACTCAACTACTATGATTATTTCCTTATTTAAATAGTATATTGCTAACTGCTTTTGTACCACAAGTATGATATGTACAGAGCAGCCAAATACTTCCCCTCGGCTTCACAGGATGGGTGTGAGACGTGAGCATTTAAATAAAGGTCAGACTCTACCACAGTATATGTACTTAATACCCTACTAGCCTCTCCTCTGATAGCACTCTGGTCAGTAATCATTTATACCTGCTGTGCATGACACATAAGCATGTGAGTGACTTACTAAAAAGAAAGCTGGTCAGGGAAAAAAATGTGGAGGAGATTGTTTTTAACCCCAGCATATTGTGATTTCCTGCTGTCTAAATGCCGGCTGCGTGAAGGCAGGTCAGCTGTAAAAGACTGTCCTCTGTGCATGAGAAGAACATTCTGTCTCTGACCATTAGTAGCTGATTTTGCCACCACTGTTTTCCCCATCTTGGAAATCAGATGAGAAGGCTGGCTAGGGAGTTTGGTGCCTTCAGTCCCATGTGCTGGGACCCTGAGGGCGGTACTTTCTGCTAGGCGTCCTCCTGGTACCCTGCTGTGATCGCTGCCAGTGCCATGCTAACAAGAAAAGAGAAAGTAATGCACCCCCTCACAGGCTACTTGGTTAGATCTGTTTCTTTATCTTTGAAGCTGGGTTGTATTTCACTTTGTCACTGGGTGCTAATGAGGATGAAAACCGTGCTGTGGCGAGTATGAGGAACTGAGGAGAACTGGGCAGCACAGGGAAATCCCTGTGCCAATATGGGTGTAAGATTCTGAAGGTTTGAAAAACAGAATAGCTTTGTGAGTGCTGCTGCCCCATGGGCGTGTTGGTAGAGCTCGTTTGGCAGGCGTCTCTCCACCCGGGTAAAAGACTCAGCCTTGTGCCTTGGACAAGCCGTTAATTGCTCATCAGCCTTCTGTTGCAAGAGGACTCCTTGCCCTTCTTCAGTGAATCATCCGGCTTACTAGAAAAGTACCTTTACTTTCCTCGCTCGCCTGTCTCTGGTTAGAGACTGTGGCTTGACTGTGAAGCCTTTGGAAATTTTGCCCGTAGGTGTGTGCTCTAGACTCTGCTGCTGCCTCCTCCCTTTGCAGTTTCCAGTGCCTCGTTTTCTTCAGCTGTGGCGTTTAAAAGTCTATATGAGCTCGACTGAAACACTGTTTTTGCACGCATGTGAGATAATGTAATGCCTCTCTGACAGCTTCAATAAAAGGAAATGAGACATGTGGAAGGCAGGCCATTAAGAGCAATAAAATAAACTCTAAAGTGTGTTTTTTGTGCATCTCTTTCAAGCACACCAGTGGCTCTGCTTTAGTCATGTTACCTGGGGCCAGTTTGTACATGCATGACACATGCTGTTGATCTCAGCATTCATTGTTCTGCGCAGCATATTCAGTGAGTCCCAGGTTATCTGCTTGCATTGCTAGATGTGACTCAGTCTCTTGCACTAATTCTTTGCAGCAAATTGTTTATTTTCTCTGCGTTTTCTGCTCCTCTCTGCAGAGGAGTTACATAAGGATGAGGGCAAATGGACTATAAATGGGATGTAGGTAAATTTCCTATGGGAAATAAAGATCCTGATTTATTTTGGTTTCTCCTACTGGTTTTTGCAGCCTTAAGCCATGTCTGACACTGCTTCTGTGCAGATAGGAATGGCAGAAAAATGCTTTCTTGCCAATGCTGCAGTTCTTCCACAGACAGCTGCATCCTGGTGAGCAGCCGCAGGCTCAGGAGAGGCACCTGTGACACTGCTTTCCTGCAGCACAGCAAAGTGCCCACCTCTCCCTGCACCTCTCAAAAGCTACGGCGAGTCCTCCTAGGGGTGCAGGGTCCCCTCTTGCCTGGCCCAGGATGTGCCCTCTGCGCTGGGTCACACTCTGGCTCTGCAGAAGAAGCTACCAGCTGGTTTCAGTAAGAGCTTATGTGATTTCCAGGTGCTGGAGTGAGAGAGATGTGTTCAACTGATGAAAACCAAACTTGCTGTCTGGTGCCATCAGATTGGCTTCCTTGGCCCAGCCAAGCCTGGAGGGAGTGCGGTGCCTGGTGTCCTTGTGTGTGGTGCGGGGCAGGGTCTGCATCTCCCCGTGGAGGCTCAATGGGGGCCCAGGGAGGCTCCTTGCCTGCAGAGGCATGCAGGGACATACTGGGGAGCAGCGTTTCTGTGCCCAGGTGGACCGGGGCACTTGAACCGTCTTTTAGCTGGACAACCGGGCTGAGCCAGACTCGTTGCTTCCTTTTGGGTTGACCTGACTGCCCAGCATGGGGCTGTCTGTCATTTGGTCGTTGATGATGAGCCTCCTGCAGTGCATTTCCTTGGTCAGTGTACGTACTGAGTCACCTTAAGCAAATCCAAGCAAGCAGTGCAAACCCCCTTCCAGGAATAATAACATTCTCCAAGTCAAATGGGTTTTTATTGCGGAGCTTAAAAGCCACTTAATTCCTAAGCCCCAGGTTGGGATCCCATATGAAGTCTCTTAGCAGGGGGGATGCAGCATTTGGCTGACAACAACAAACAGCAGCTGTCACCCGCCGTGTGGGGCTGGACCGGCACAAAGCCAAATACCTCCTGCCCAGGAGCTGCAGGCAGCTGCCAGCCCCCCTCTCCCTGCTCATCAGTGGCCAAATGTACGGGATGCAGGTGTCTTCACTTACCTGCTTCCCCGCCTTCAGCCTCAATTAACTCTGTAAATGGCCAAGAGCAAAGAGATGGGGGGGAGGTAAACCTGTCCAGGGCCAGCTGGAGAAGGGAGGGCAAAGAGTTTTCCCCAAAGCGTGGGGATGAGGTGATCTGTTGCACTTTCCCCATCTGCCCTGAGTGATGCCTGCCCAAAGCTCACCCAGAGGCTGAGGCTTCTGCCATGCTCAGAGGCATGATTCTGCTGCGGGTTTGTTGCAGCTCTGTGGGGTGCCTGTTTCTGCCTGTTTCTCTAGGGCTTGGCTCTCCGTTCCCCTGGCTGTGAGAAGCAGGCACGCTGCTGGCCTGGCTCCCAGCGGCTCCAGGTAAGCTGGTTTCACTGTTGTGCTTTGCAGAGAGGTAGTGAGGTTTAAATGTGACTTCTAGATGTTACAACAAATCTGAGCGGGAGAAATCCAGGGAGAGGTAATGCAGCTGCTTGTGGGCTCTCAGTACAAAGCGAAGAAAGTCGGGAAAGTGTTTCTCCTCCACAGCCCTTGCTCCCCGCAGCATACGGTGCGTGCTGCCCAGAACAAATGCTGAAGCATTCTCGAGACCTGGGCCTGAGCAGCAACAGTAGACAAAATGTTAACTGAGGGTGAAGCAGTCCTTCAGTGCAGGGATGAGGAGAGGTGCTGCACCCATGATGAACAGTGTTGCTGCTCAGCTTGATTTAGTGTTGTTCCTTTTTTGTTTTTCCAAGTCATGTGAGTTTGTTTTATGGCATGAAGTAGTTGCTGTAGGGTGCTGGATTGCCTCTGACACTTCTGTAATACTCCTTTTTTTTTTTTTCTTTGAATGTGCAGGTGTATGACTACAGTGTTCCTGCCCAGACAGCGCCCTGCTTGGTGAGTGTAATGGATGGATTTAATTTCCATCTCCTACAGTTCTTTGGGGACATGCTGAGATTTTTATTTCTTCCTCTCCTGTTTTTACTGAAGAAAGAAAATTTGGTGCCTCCATAAAGGAGAGTTGGAGCGGGTAGCTGGTGATACAGGACAGGCACACCATCACTTACGCAGCCAGGCATAAAACATTGCTCAGTTTTGGTATCTCTGCCTCTCATTGTAAAAAAAAGACTGTACACATAAAACACCGCAGCTGTTCCCAGGAGAGCTGTCCTGCGTGCTGGCACTGTCACTCCTCCAGCTCCCATCTGTGGGGTTGCAAAGCACCAGGGATCTCTGCGTAGCATCCTCGCTGGGAGATGGTGCGTTAAGGGTAGATCTGCGAGGAAATGCTTGGTGCAGAGTAGAAGGGATGAGTCAGGCCTGATTTCTGTCACACTGCAGGGTCTGTCCCTGTGCTGGCTCCGTTCATGCTGAGCAGCCAGCCCTCT